CTTTGTTGCGAATTGTTCGTTAAATTGAATACGTGCTTCGGTTTCAATCGAGAGGAACGATCTTTTGTTGCCGCCGGCGAAGAAGGTCGAAGCAATAAATGGCTTGAAAACTATCGTAGGTTTGTTTGTGAAAATAATTTTATGCAACCCCAATTTTCCACGTCTCGTATGAACGAATTAATAATAATAATCTTAATAACCGTCGTCGACATCTGTCGTGCTTGTCGCCATCCCGGTAAGTCACTTAGGCATGTCATCTCCGGTTGTTCGGCGCTTTCTAACTTTGAGTATTTGCACAGACACAACCTAGTTGTCAGTATTCTACACCAGGAACTCGCTCTGAAATACGGTCTCGTGGATAGGAAACTGCCATATTATAAATACTTGCCGGAAGCTGTGCTCGAAAATGACCGCGCCGGGCTCTACTGGGACCGGGCCATCATCACAGACAGGACTATTCTTGCGAATAAGCCTAATATTGTGCTGATGGACCGGGCACAGTCAAGGATATTTTTGGTCGACATTACCATTCCTTATGACGAGAAACTCGTGAAAGCCGAAACAGATAAATTGACAAAATATCTGGACCTGGCTCACGAGGTGATCGACATGTGGGGTGGTCTGCCTGCCGAAATTATTCCTGTGGTCGTTTCTGCGAACGGGTTAATCCCAGTCAGCCTCTCGGGTCATCTGAGCGGACTCCGTGACGGACCGCTCCAAGCTCATATGCAGAAGGCGGTGCTCCTCGATACCGCCCGCATCATCCGCCGGTTTCTTTCCCTTTCCCCCTAACCCTCGGCCGTTTGGTCTCCCCTACCGAGGGCTTCCATCTGGTTGGGTTTTTATATATTTATGTATTTTTTATGTATTAATTCTATTTTGTTGATATTTATATCTTGCGTTTACAATTATATATTTAAAGAGACAAACTAGATAAGAAAACTTTATAGATAACCCAAATAATAATAATAATTTTCTCCGGTCTCCGTTGAGACTGGCCGTCGTGACCGGAATTCAATCTGGAGGACATTATTATTATTGCATTAAATAAAGTCTACTTAAATAGGTGTTGCTAAGAGACCATCTCTTAGCAACACCTAATATTTAAGTCGTAAATTACTTATCGCTTTGCATTATGAGGGGTGAAAAATGTGTAAAAAATTTTAGTGAAATGGAATATTTTGAGAACTGTAGTAGCTCAGGAAGTGGGCACTCTCTCTAAGCGTCTTTGTACGAGAACAACGAGTTCAGCACCCGCCGTCGGTTTGGTTACTACTACTTCTACTTTGCCGTCATTTTTGATTTACATCTACATTTTTGCTATATTCTGGTTATGTAAAAAAAAAACGATAAGAATTTCTTTATTAATTTAATTACTCACCAGTTCCAAAATTTAAGGATTGCTTTGTAGGTGCCGGACCGCAAAGTTAAGCAAAATGCCGCCCCATTAGAGCGCATTGATGAATAATCGGTAAGACTTGACGGCACCGGTCTTGTTGCAACTAATATTGCAGTTTATGAACGCGAAGTCGTGTGCGTCCTACACAATACTACTAACAATATGCTAATAATAATTTAAAATAATGACCCCGATCACACACTTAGACATTATTTAATTCTTATTAATCTAAAAAAATCTAATTCTAATCTAAAAAAAAGCTGGTTAATTGTAAAATGTTAATATTTTGTAGATGAACTTTTAATGTATATAATAATATTATTTCAATAAAACCAGTTTTACGGATTTTATCGCGTATATTAACTTATTTTATATTCCCGACGTTTCAAGCACTTAACAGCACCCATATTCACGAAGGGGGAGGGGGACTGAGGTGTTTCATGTCCCAATGTCATAGTCAACCACGGCTACATCCAGATTAAAATTATTAATTTTTGCAGATTAAAATTATAGTATAGCTACGTTACAGAAAACTTTGTATTAATTCATTTCAAATTTGTGCTGAAGTTTTAATTACCTGCAATTAATTTTAACTTTTAAAAGACGTAAAACAGGTTGAGAACAATTACACCGTTGGTAATAATTAACTACACATGCGCGAGCAGAGCGTAACTCAAACTTCTTAGGCGAAAACAGGATGATAGGTACTTAAGAACAAAGTACTTAATCAAATTACGACATCACAAGTTAGAAAAGTTTTGTTTTGACATAAAGCAATGACAAAAATTAATGTTGTCATGTCTATAGGTTCCAGTGTTGATTACAGCACTTCGTTCATTTTTGAGGGGGTTTTTGGATAAGGTAAGTCTTTCCCGATACTACAGAATATTGAGGAATGTAGCTTTATTTGTTTGAAGTTGGTTTTTCAAGAGCTGTAGCAGCAAACTACCTTTATGTAGACTGTTAGCTATTGCTAGAATATTATACGTAAATGGGCGTGAGTGCATACGTACATAGACGCACACATGCACCTTTACAATTTTTTATTGAAATATGAAAAAGGTCTTAGAAATGAAAAATAGGGTCATGAAATAGAATAGAGTAATATATTTTCAATATCTAATATAAAATAAATATATAAAATTATTATAATTATTATATGTTTGTTCATCTTATATGCACTTCTCTACTATTCAAACAATTACGTTGAAACTTTGGTGGGTTGTTGTACAAGCAACCGCGAATGTTTCTAACACTGAAAGCGCACACATGCCAAGCATAGCTAGTAAGTCATGAAAAAAAAAACCTGCTTCTGATTTCCTATACAAATCTTTCAGACTAGTGATAGGCAGCAAATTTACCCGTGTTAAGTTATTGAGCCCAACAACTTGCCAGCCAGCGTGTTGAGAATGGGCACCTCTTTCAAGATATGCATCATTTTGATCTTTTTTTAAAAATACCCACATATTTACTATAATGAATTCAAAAGGCTTACACTGAATGCTTAAATTTGTATGCTGGAATTCCTTGAGAGTTAGACCTTTCGTCGGTCAAGTCCACCAAATTGTGCTGCAACCCATTATTAGCGTTGGAAATCATCAGAGATACTTTTCGCTGTGGGAATCACAACAAGGTTATACCGAATCAGGACTTCTACCAGCTAAAATCCATCACTATTAGCGTATACGAATTGTCCTGGGATTTCCGTTCAGAACGCAACCGGGCCCACTCCATCGGTTTGCTTGACTATCACCACGTTCCAGTGATAGTACTTGTTGGCTTCAGTACTCTCGGAGTGCTGCCAAGATATCTCTTGATTACTTCCGAGTCATCGTTCTTCTCGAAAGTTATATTACACTATCATTATACGGTCATTTGTTCTTGACGTTACATAGAGTAAACTTGGATGTAATATCGATTTATTAGAAGATTTATATAAAGTAACTCGACTTACTGATTCAGTAATTAAATAATTTGTCTCAAATCTAAAATCAAATCATAAATCTTTATTTGCAAGAATCACGGCATAAGATGTTATAATTTATACAGTGCAGTCGTGTGTCGCTAACTATAGTGTGTTTGTATTTGTGCAGAAATTGTTCTGAAAATAGTTATATTCTATTTTATTCTATTCCCTAATAATTATTTTATACTGTTACCGTTAACCCTTACAGGACCATAAGATGTCCAAGACTAAATATATCAATACAACACAATATTATAGCTATTGTGAGTGTAAAGTAAGAGAATATCACCAGAAAAACATAGCAGGGTGTACAGGTTTCCTATAATTTCATGGGAAATATTTTTCCCTATGGACCATAAAAGTAAATAAATGAAGAGTTAGGTTTATTATATCGGTATTTTATTTATTTCTTTGTAATACAAAAACGTAATAAAAATTAACAGAAAAGTAAAATATATAGTTAGTTATGGTATTCTACGAAAAAAATTTCGATTACTTGTGAAGCACAAGTGGACATTGCCCATAACACATTTATAATGTGTCCTATTTTCTATACGTCGTTTTGCATAATTTACGCATCGCTTCAGTTTTTCTGCTTTTGCCATGTTGTCCGCTGGCAAACTGCATTTATTTCCAATGTGGAGCTTTTCAGAGGAGACTAAAGTGGGTCTTGATCACTGTCTACATGTAAATTTATTTATTAGACCTCGTGCTACATGTTGGCGATACTCGAACCTGCTCAAATGTGGACCTTCTACTCGGTGTTTTTCGTGCAATTTTACGTACACTCAATACGAGTTATTCATAGCGATATCTAAGATGTCAAAAAAGAGGCGCAGGTATTATTTGATTTTGGCCTTACAATTAACCTCATAACATGTTTTGTGCTGGTCCATAAGGTCCACACCGCCCATATATTTATTATAGCGCATCAGTACTTCCGGACATATAACATTTATTTTTTGAGCAGTTCCTGCCTGCCGCCTCTTCACTGTGCTAGTTGGCACCGGAGATATGAAATTGTCAACATATGGACTGCTTTAGTATCCATCCATTTTACGAATGTTATACCGTTTGTACTTACGGCATGGATGTCGCCTCTTTTCATGCTTTTATCTGATGGTAATGACTTTGGCACATTTTTTCTATTCGCGCGAACAGTGCCGCAGGCTTTGTTGTTCTGCATCAAAAGTTTATGTTGCAAAGCAGGCGAGTTGAAAAAAATGTTAAATTTTGCCGAATCTGCTCAATTCTAGTTCTTGGCATAATATTAGCAATGAAAGGCACACCCATGTCTTCATCAGTCGACCAGTAATTCCTAAGAGTTGGTACAACATGATAACGCATTATAAAATTCATGGCCAAAAATGCCTTTATTTCATCCAAGCTGACGTAAAAGGTCTTCTATTTTGTTGTGCGTATTTGACACTTTCTTTTATTATGATATTAGACACTAACTGATCCATTTGTGTCACCTCCATGAAAATGTCCAGTGGCAACAACATGGTCAGATTATGTATTTATGCGCCCAAAATCATACTCACTTTCATTGAATGTGTGAGGAGCGTATGAGTTATTGCTCCATTTGAAAATAAGAATAGTCTCTGAAGTATCTGAACAGGTGGGTAATGAGGTTTAATTTGTTGGTTCTTGAACAGAATCTTCAATTTCAACAACATCGGTTCCATTTTCTACATCTTGAGCTATGAACTGCTGTTCTTCTTCGTCTAACTGTAAGTCATCTTCTCCGTCACTTTTATCTGCCATAAGTAACTGCAATATTTCTTCATCTTGAATATGAAATTCTCTGCACCCTCTTTTAGCCATTTCTGTAAAAAAAACATGAAGAAATTATATAAAAATACAAGAAAACCATGCATTATCATAAAGCACTCCATATAATAATACTACAACGAATACACCAGATATGGACCAGAGGGAAAAATATTTCCCTTTAGATGATTTGCAACTTTTAGGTACTTGTGCTAATATTCCGCAGTTTACTGTAATATTATATAAAACTAGCTGTGCCCGCGGCGTAGCTCGCGTATACAGGTTTTACATAAAGAATTTGTCGTTTAGGTAGGAGAATATTAAACGATTTATTTCATTACTGTATCAATAAGTGGTAAATAAATAAATCATTATCATCAAAGTTCTAAGTCGTTTATGATAGAGATTCTGTGTAAACGACGTTAGAAGTAGGCTTAGCCGGGATGTACACAAAAAGGTTACGGGGGCTACTAACGCGGGAAAAAGCAACATAGAGTTGGCCATGTGCAAAACAGTCAGTACTGAGGTACACTCCTACAACGCGTAAAGTTTGACCTTGCGATTTATTTACGGTCATCGCATAACACACGCTCACTGTAACTGGGAACTGAACGCGCTTAAAACTGAAAGGAAAGTTACTTCTTAATAGAGGGTTTTTGGGCAGTGCTGCCAGATAAAAAAAAACTCATTCAGCTCTAGGACAACACAAAAAGCGCTAGATTTCATGAAAACAGCGCTTTAAAAAAGCCCTAGATTTCGCGCTAAATTAACTACAAACAAAGTTTGTGTTTTTTATATAATCATAATAAAGAAAAAACATTAAGTTTTTTTTTCTGGTAATATTTTTTTGATGTATCAATACTTCGCAGGACATCGACTTATAATTGTGGCAATTGCTGTCAACAGTAGTTAGTACTGTACGAACAATAAAAATGTCATTAATTGTTTTAAAGTGGAATGTATTTCGCAACTTAGTTTCAGATGTCAGATTCTGATTGCGGTTGCTACACAGTTTCTTTGTGTTATAACTTCTAAGTAACTTTTAACTTAGCTGTGCTCTAAGCCAAACCCATGAACGAAAACTTTAATAAAGGGAATTTCCCCGCTTATAGTCGTCGGTAAAAAAATCAAGTTGATCATCCTAAAGGGGAAGCCAGGAGATCCATAGCACAGGGTATCCTAGTTTGGACTCGTCTCCCATGCTCTTTGTTTTGTGGAAAAAATATGTTTGAAAAAGATGAACTGCAATGTACTATTTGTGGGAAAAAATAATAAAGGTCATTATTATTATTATCGGTAATGTGGACTAACAGTGCTGCTATAAAAGAGTTAATAACCCGCTAGTCGCTAAAATATTGAAATGTGTGCTAAATACACCAAAAAGCGCTGGATTAAGCTAGGTGCTAAAATTTCGAAATGCGCGCTATACCTTCCAAAAAAGCGCTAAATCTAGTGCCCAAAGCGCTACAATGGCAGTACTGATTTTGCGTATAATATTATAAATACAATATCACGACATTTCGTTGCAAAATTTTTATTTTTGGTCGGGTTCCGTTGTATGGCTTCGATGGATACAAATTTCTTCAGTAAGACTCAATACGTTTCATCGGCGAAAAATCTCAACACAGCAATTCAGAAAAGTTTGTAATTTGTACAACTCCATCTATTACGTCCTTTGTGTGAGAAAACATCCTTTTTAAATATCTTTTTGTGTTTTAAGTATAAATATATTAATTATATTATGGAACGTTTTTTTTACACACAAATCTTTTTATTACTATTTCTGAGATTTTATGGCGCCATTTAACAAATTCGAACCTACATTTCAAAATAATAATCATTACTTTCGATAGAATGAACCAATTTTAATAAAACAAAGATTTAATGTAACTCGAAGATACGCTATACGATACGATAAAATGTTCTTATTTAATTATTTTCAGTTCCCCATAATGATTATAGCCAACAAAATATATATACAATGTACAGAAAGAGACACAACATGTTATCATCATTTTTATTATATGTATATATTTAAAGAGAGATGGCGCTGCTTACATCAATTCTAAAAATAAAAGAGATTAATTGACGCGATTGATACATTATATAAAACGCAAGAGAACTTATAAATCAGTGCCTGCACAGTAAGCAAAAAATAAAGTTTGACTCTCGCCAAAACCAACGATTTGTTAATAGCTCTTTTAAAATTTGATTTACCACATAGAGTACTCGGCGGTAAAGAATAAATTGAGTTTGTCAACACGCAGTAGGGCAGCGAGTAATATAATAAAGATTAGCAGTAAATATGAAAACTCATCTACAGGAAAAAACCACATTGCAATTGCATTACATTTTCACAACACCACCATCTATCGAAGAAATGGGTTAACTATTGTGCTTCAGATTTAGTTAATAAGGTTAATATATTTTTGTATAATATATTTAATACGTTCTTTAATACTTTTGTTTACTGCGTTTTAGATATACATAATTATATCATTATTTTACATAATTTAACTATGATTTATGATATGATATTACTTTAAAATGCACTTGATGACTCAAACAAAGCCACCGTTGAGCAAATTTGTACCTATACTTCCCTACCCATACTTCAGAATATTTATCATAACTTTTGATGGAATGAACTGATTTTAATGAAATAAAGACTAAATGTAACCCGAAGATACACTTTATAATTTTCTTAACAATTCTTATGATATAAATTAGTACTTTATACGTGATACGTTAACAAACAAACAGACAGACAGACAGACAGACAGACAGACAGAAAATTCTAAAAATGGTAGAAATGTATTTAATTACTTATTTTTAGTACCCCTCAATCACTTTTATTACAAAAATATAAAATGTACAGACATCTGCTATTTACAGTTTTATTATATGTATAGATTATACTTAACAAATAATATAAAACACGTGAAAAAATACAGTTATTTTATTTTCTCAAGTCCAAAACACTTTCAAAATATTATTAGTTCAGCCCGAGAATGTTTTGGTTTTGGCGCAATAAAGTTTGACAGTTATTTTTGTTTTATTCGTTCAGAAACACATTTGCCGCCTTGAAAATACGTTTTATTTTCACATTCAGTAAAAAAAAAAATATCGATTCAATAATAATTGAACAATCGATAACGATTTTTGTAGAAGAGAAAAGTATTTCCCTTGAGCGTGAAAGGGTTAAAGCCTCTTGAATTCCACTGCTGAACATAAATTATTCTGATACTGATTCTCATAAGTTTCTCCCATAGATTAGGTCATAGAGGAGAAATCTAGTGGAAGGCCATAGTTGCCACGCTTTCCAAGAACGATACTACACAGTATCTGGCACTACACGGCATATTTTTTTTATAAATAAAGGATTATTTGTTGACTATACCACTGTATTTAGAATCCTTTGTATTGCCTGCTTTGTAAGCTAGCTTGGCTATGCTGGGTGAATAGAGCAAGTTTTTATGCAATATAGATTATAAGGTATTCTTATTGAAAGTAGTTTTTTTTTACTTTTAACAATAGTTCCAAAAAAATACCACTGTCGAGGGAGTTAGGAGGACAATATCCTACGTGACTTTTTTGTTAATGTAAAATGTTACTTTAAAATACAGGTTGTACAAACTATTTACAAAACTTATAAAAGAAACAACTTGGAAGCGACCACCGCTTTCCCAAGGGTTATTATCAACCATATATTGGCTTATATCATAATAACCGTTTCTTATACAGTTTTGTATGCTTAAATATTTTAAATTTGTTATTAACAAGTATTTCATTTCATATAATATATATTATATATTTAAATTATTTTATTATATGTAATATGAGAGTCTGTGTATTTTCTGGGACTTTGTTGTAATATCATATTATACATTAATGGTATGAATTACTGACTCCATGGAGTCACTAGCTTGTATTTATTCTTGGTGTTTACAAAGTGTACGTCTTATTTTTTACTAAAACTACTTTTTTTTTTGAAGAAACAGGTGATGATATTTATAATAGTGCTGATATAAATTGTGTTTTGTGGGAGTATTCCTTGTCGTTTACAGTTGCAGTATTTTCTCGTCATTTCCTCAGTATTTAGTTAATAATCACAAGTCTACGTAGTAATTTCACTAGACCCAGTGTTGAAGGTATAATTTAAAAGTCGAATAATACGTATGGACCATAATGAGGCTATTTGTATGCATGCAGTTAACCGTACGGTGGAATAAATGTACACCGCTTCAACTTCGAATTATTGTCTTTCTTCTAAAATATAGAAAAAGTGTGGATAATATCTATTAATATGACGTTACTTAGATATAAGATATTAAAAGTCCATTTATTTTAATAATCAAAATTTTCTGATAACATATTACGCTATATTTCTTCAAATCACTTCTGGCATTGCTTTATCTCGGTTCAGCCATTCAAGACATACATACAAACATAAACTTAATATAATACAGTTACTTCCATATTAGAGACCGACGCATAAATTATAGTACGAGTACATGTATAGACGTACACCCCAGTATTTAAGTACATAGGTTATTTGAAAGAGAACGCTATAACGATAAGGTCACCCTTTGTAAAACTGATTATTTTCACTTTTGTTTTCTTTTTTTCTCTAAATTGTTATGGTGATTTGGTTTATGTTTTAAAATAGTAGTGACAAAAGAAAAGTTAGTAATACTGCTTGCTAAGCTACAAGGGTTTACATCCTGCTGAAGACATGCATCCTTGTCGTGGAAAATTGTATTTGAAATATTTTCATTGTTAAGTATTTTCTTAATTTGTTGGTAACAAAATGAAGCCTTTTTTTACTGATTTAACTACCCCATATCATGCTGTTTGTGTCATTAGAAGTGACATAGGAAAATTTAAACACAAAGAGGTCTTCATACGTGGCAGAGAACCACGCTCTCACAGAATATCAGCATAAAATAGCAAATTAATGCTGCAGTATTTCTTATTCTGAATGTAGATAACCGGAGACCCTTTTACTGGAAACGCGGCATTCTGTCTTAGTCCTCAGGTGTGCTAACGCAGTTGT